GGTACATTCTGAAAAACGTTTTGCCGACATCGTCAGTGAGCCTTGTCATTGTTGGCACCACACTACAATAGGTGGATACATAAGGACAGAATGAGAGATACTTACACTATTAAGCAGGCAATTAGTCAAAGGATTGACTTCCCTTTTCTCTGACGAGTTGTGGTCTGGTGCTGAGACCGGAAAGGCTCACTGACGATGTCGGCAAAACGTTTTGGAATGTACCAAATCAATGCTCGGACCCTGGAAATTAGCATGCATACTATGGACTCCGGACAAGATGCGCCCCTCTAGGTCTTTCTGTCAATAATAAGGTCAAATAACTTATATCCAACGAAAGGAAATCACAACCATACTGAAGGCCACACCATATTGGTCTGCATACCTTTGATTGAATATGGGTTTAATTACATCCGTGGTCTGGAATCCAGTATCCTTTTTTATTAGACCGAAAACACCCAGACCTTTGTGTGATAACATGCTACTTCATATGTGCAATTATTGAATGATCATGAGCAATACTGGGTGCTATGACCCAAATGAAATACGATATATTACCAGGTATTTAAAAAACGGATTCAAACATTAAAATCTTAGTAATTGAGATACGCGGAATTTTCCATGATGCCGGACAAATAAAACTAGAATAAAAGGCAAAGTAACTTAGGCCAAAATGTGGGAATTTTGTTTGAAATAGTTTAACATCATTACCAACGATTAGTTAGCTTATGATTTGGATTTAAAATTGTCTGGGAAAATCAATATTAATCAATAATATAAGAGACATATTGGCCAATATTTTTTACAAGGATATAAATCTAGCCTTAAGTAACAAACCAGGAGCGACTTGATTGATTCTTGAGCTATAGAAAGGCGGACTGATGTCGGAGGGTGTCTCAGAAGATAGCCTGTGCTGCTTAGGGGAGCCAGTCACGACGGCGGTTCCGATTCTGATATCGACTTCAGTGAGTTTTCCGGCAGAGCTGAGAGTCGCTTTCATCCAGTCGGGAGACGTGGAACACGGCTGCTGATCGGGCATGAGGCTACTGAGCGCGTCTACGCGGCCAGGTGACACAAATGAACAAGAGCTAGAGAAGGCCAAGCTAACGACTGGAGGAGTAGGTGAGACAGAGGATATCTAAATAATGCATGAATGCAGAAACGCAATTAAAAACTTTATTAACATATATTCAAAGTATATCCATAAGGCCAATAACTTTATTATTAACATAAATTTACAGTTACACAGATACTATTTTATATTCCGTAGCTAGAAAGAGAAAGATATTGAAATCTTTAGACTAAATAATGCTCACACGCCTATTATTGTAGATATATAGGACTTTATAAAAATCAGAATTAGAAATTCTACCTAGCCAATGCACATGAGTTTCGTAAATTGATAAATAATAGTGGTAGAAGAGAATAAGTAATGTCCTATAGATTAGCTATAAACACTGACGATCAGAAGATGCGAGAAATCTATCAGAAATAAAGCAAAAGCCACAAATAAGATCATCCCTTGAGTCAATTATAGATTATATCTCATTTACATCAATAAGGTTAGCTAAGGTGTAAGCAGCTAACGTTCTAGAATGTAAAAAGTAAGTGGTTGTTTGACCTTGCGTTCGCAACTTGGTCATATTGGCAGGAAGACCTAGAGGAACGCACCTTGTCCGGGGTATGCGTGATGATTTCCAGAGTCGGCCCTTGAACTTAGTATATTCCCAGACTTTTGGCCGGCGTCGTAATCAATATCGTCAGTGGGTCTTGCCATTCTCAGCATCAAACTGCAATGCATCAGAAACAAGTGAGGTCGATCCTTTGACCAACGTCTACTAAACAGTTGTCGTATTTCTTCTTCCGTTATGTCGCTTTGAAGAGTTACAGTTTGGTGCTGAGAATGGCAAGACTTACTTAGAATGCCGACTACAAGGTCGGCGAAACGTCTTGGAATTCACCAAGTACACGGTCCAACTCGGGAAATTATCACGCATGTTATGGACTTCGGACAAGGTGTGCTTCTCTAGGTCTTCCTGCGAATATAACCAAATTGCGAAAACAATGTCGAATAACTGCTATGCAACGAAATGAGACTGCGACCAAAATAGAAACCACAACATCTTGGTCTTCGTAACTACGTTTCAAATAAAAAATTGATCTATTATACAATGAAATTATAGATGTAGCAAAGTTATTTCAAGCAAATTGATCTTGGTCTGGGCCATTTAGTTAAGAAAATAATGTCAGTTGTATTGATTCAACGTGGCATTACTAAATCGCTTACGACAGTAAGCAAAGCAAAGATATTTTAAAATATAAAATCATTTGTTGATAAATCAGCGTATATCCACAACGTA